AATTCTATTTTAAGTCGTGTAACAAAAACAGATCAAGCAATTTATTGTGATATGAACCGTGGACTAGTTTTTTTGAGTAATCTTTATATGTATGATTCCTCCAATAATCGTAATAATATATGTTTTTGCTACAATGAACTTGGTTATAAGTATTATGAGAAACCAATTAGAAAGGAGTCTACATATAAGTCTGGTTTTTCACACTTTTTAGTAGAGGAATACGAAGTATTACAAATTCTTAAAAAAGTTATATAAACTTTCATTGCCAAATAATTTACGTTTTTTATTATATATAATAAATAATGCTTATAGCAATTGGTTTAAACAATAGTTTACATGCGAAATTTTATTTGCTTTGGCCGTTTCTCTTATTACTGTATTATGTTAACTGCTCCTTAAAAATTTTTTATATAATATTATCTTTTCTAATATTAACGTAATGGAGCTTTAAATTCAAGTTATTTGACGAAGTTTGAAGTATTCTACAATATGGTTTAATTTTCTGTTATATAAGAAATAATTAATCATTAATAATCCTTATGATGTTCCAGAAATTTTATCATGTCAACAGCTTATATTAGCAGATATGACAATTGGAAATTGACCATTAATCTTGTGATCTGGATTATTTTTTACACCGATTTATAGGCAAATTTGCCTGCAAATTGTTCGTGTTGAGTTGTAGTCTGTGACAAAGTTCATTTTTAGGCTGCGCTATTATAGTTAGGGTGGCTAAAACTGCTATTAAATATTGGTTACTACTAGAGATGTGCGAATGCAAGTTTTTTTGGCTTTGCATCACATAATGCAGCATTATGTCACATGCATTATGCAATTCTGTATAGTATACTATGGCTCCCTCAAAAACTATATGTAGTAAACCGACTTTGTATAATTACTGAGAGGTTATTGGATTTGAAAATATGAAATATAGTGAAAACAGATCTGGAACACTGCCTGCATAATGCGTACGGCACATCTCAAGTTACTACGCTAAGTTACAAAGCAATGGGTTCTAATCAACAGATACTATTTTTACTATTCATAAATTGCTTATCAAACATACTTAGATAATCACTATTTTGCAAACCATCCACAAAAATCGATTCTATATGCACTAGCAAAATTAATGCAGGAAATAAAATAAAAGATATTTAATAATAATTACTGAGTTTACATGAATCATTAAGGTGTCTAATATCCAGGGATGGCATGTTATGATATTGGACATTTGGACAATTTGGACATAGTAACTTTTTTTATTGGGCATTAAAAAAAACTAATTTAATCTTGGCCTAAATTAACCTTAATTCAGACCAATATTCACCAATACAAAATGACTCTAATTTATAGCATATTTAAAAAGTATACTGATATAATAATAATAATAATTATTATTATTATTATTTTAAAATATGTATTCGTACGTACGTATTCACACTATTGAATCAACTTAAATTCCATTTTACTTACAACATGTTTATATATGTACTTGGTATTGCCCTAGTGAAATATGTTTAATCAACCCGAAAATTTAAAGTTTAATTGAGTAAAAAAAGTTGTCTTTAATGTAGAGAATATTGCCGGGAATGTCAGTATCTTCATAATATATAAAAAATCAATACTAATAATTTTTATTATAATACCTTCTATAGATTTGATTATATGAAATACGCATATTAGAGCTATTCTTGATAAATTATTTATATGATTCATGGTTGCATATTGCATCATGTGACATAATGTATTATGTAATGCAGAGGCTGCAACCACATGTGATTAATTACTAAAATATTAAGTGACCTGCAAATTTTAGTTTGGTAAATAAAGTGTACTATTTTGTATTATTTGTGTACTACTTACATTTAAACCAAATGACAGCGAAATTTTTTGAAAAACTTTCAAACAATTATCTTGAACTTCTTGAAGATAAAGATGATTTTAATGTAATTATTAAAATTGGTGAACCTCCAAATGCGAAAATATTTCAAGCTCATTCAGCTGTTTTGAAATATCGATCTTTATATTTTCGTAATGAATTAAAAACAGCTAACAAAGATGGAAACAATATTAAAACGATTAATTTAAATAATATTTCTATGCAACAATTTGAAATTATTATCAAGTAAGTTATATATTACTTCAACTAATATTGTATATTAAATTAATAACATTTTTTTTTTTTTATTGAAATTAATAAAGATATATTTACGGAGGGATAGCTTTATTGGAAAATCTTGAAGCATCATTTCTTTTGATTTAATGCTTGTTGCGCATGAATTTGTTCTTGAAGAGTTGGCTGAACATCTTGAAATTCTTTTAATTGAATCAAATGTTCATTGGCTTCGTCTACATTTCGCTCGAATTTATCAAGAAAGCTTTCAAAATAATAAACTTTCAAATTTATAAAAATGGTGTAACGATATTGTAGTAAAGTATCCTAGTAAAGTTTTTGAATCCGAAGATTTTTCATCTATTCAAGAAAATGCATTAGTTTCGTTGATTGAACGTGATGATTTACAAATGGAAGAAGTTAAGATTTGGAATTATATTATTAAATGGGGTATTGCACAGAATCCTAGTTTATCGTCCAATCCTGAAGACTGGTCCAATGAAAATATTTTGGCATTAAAAACTACTTTAAAAAATTGTTTACCTCTAATCCGTTATTTTCAAATCTCTGGTGAAGATATTTACAAATATGTTCAACCGTATCAGCAAATCCTTGGAAAAGATCTCCGGCAAGATTTAATCAAAAAACATATGGCACCAAGCATCCCAATATCATCAGTGATTCTTCCACCTCGTGTGATTTTAGCAACAGAATTACCGCATAGATTATCAGCAGAACCATTTTCGAATGTTATTAACGAAGCACATGCAGCTGAAATTGCTTCGTGGATTGATAAAAATGATAATATGTATTCCATATCAGATAATCCTTATGAATTTAAACTACTTCTTCGTGGAAGCAGAGATGAATTTACTCGCGAATCGTTTTGGAATTTATGCGATAAGCAAAAGGATTTGGTCGTTGTCATAAAGGTTAAAGATACTGATGAAATTCTTGGTGGATATAATCCTATTGGATGGGACAAATAAGTTAAAGGTTCTGCAAAGTGCGAAAAGAGCTTTACTTTTTCATTGAAGAATGGCACTATCCAAAATTCTATTTTAAGTCGTGTAACAATAGCAAACCAAGCAATCCGTTGTGATATGAATTGTGGGCCAGTTTTTTATGGGAGTCTTTATATGTATGCCTCCAATTATAATAATGGATGTTTTTGCTTCCATAATAGTAGCTCTAAGTATTATGAGAAACCAATTAGAAAGGAGCCTACATATATGTCTAATTTTTCATACTTTTTAGCAGAGGAATACGAAGTATTTCAAATTCATAAAAAAGCTATATAAACTTTCATTGCGAAATAGTGTTTTTACCATATATAATAAATAATACTTAATAGCAATTTGTTTAAACAATAGTTTACATACGAAATTTTATTTTGCTTTTATTATTATTGTTAATTGCGGCTTAATTTTTTATATAAATTTATCTTTTCTAATATTAGCGTAATAGAACTTCAATTCATGTTATTTGACAAAGTTTGAAGGATTCTACAATATTGGTTAATTTTCTATTATATAAGAAATATATATAATTAATTAATTAAATATAATTAATGATCTTTATGCTGTTTCAGAAATTTTACGGGTCAGCAGCTTATATTAGCAGATATGACAATTGGAAATAGACCATTAACCTTGTGATCTTGATTATCTTTTACACCGTTTTTTAGGCAAAATTTGTCTGCAAATTGTCATGAATGACCTGTGATGGAACAGGTAGTGTTGGATATTGTTATCTTAGGAAAATTGGTGTTGAAAAAGATGAACAAAAGGCGTTCGTTCATTGTCAAAAAGCTGTTGAAATGAGTTGTGATTTTGCGATTTGTAATCTTGGAGAATGTTATCAAAATGGAATTGGAGTTAAAAAGGATTTAAAAAAGGCCTTTGAATTATTTTTTAAATCTGCTAAACTGGATTACATTGATGGAATAAGAAATGTTGGATATTGTTATCGAAATGGTATTGGAGTAAAAAAAGATTTAAAGGAGGCCGAGTACTGGTTTCGAATGTAAGTTTATTTTCGTTAAAAAAAGTTTTATAAAATACTAAATATTTAATAATGATAATTAATAGGGAAAAAATAAATTTCAAGATATTTATTCATTATTATTTTATTATTATCATTATCGATTTAATAATCAATAGAAATAAAGAAATTCTCTTATTTTGATCTTGATGACAGCGTGAAAGAAATATTGGATGAAGAGAGATATCAATTACTATTGATTCCATATAATAGATTTAAAGACATTAAAGAGATTGGAAAGGGTGGAATTGCAACGGTTTATCATGCTAAATGTCAAATTAATTATAAAGATTCTTCTGGTAAATATTCGTTTGCAATTAAAAAAATTCATGGACAGGATTTTTTCGATGAGGTAAAAATTTATCACGTTTTGTTATAATAATTCACGGCGATTTGAAAGATCTCCAATTAGTGGTCAAGTGGGACTACGACAATTAAGTTAGACATGAATGTTAAACAGTGTGTTAGCAAACCAAAATTCATGCGCATTGTGGAGTGACTTGTCGCGTGCGTGAGGAATCACTTGAGGATTTACATAAATTACTAATGAAGCACAGGCAGTGAGCCGACGAGGTGCTACTTATTTTATACCCTGGTCACTATATCAAGATCGCAGGGCATAAATCAGTTATGTTCTGGGCACTATGTGATAAGCGGGACTTTCAACCCCGCTTATACCCAATTGCCCAGGAAATAACTATTACGTATTAGGATTAAGCTTAAACAAATATAAGACAGTTGAACGCCAATATAGATGATTAACCCAACAAATATGACCGGCGTACATGTATCGAAAGTCGACAAGACATTTTCAGCTAATAAGGCATACGACACTTTATTATAGTTACAGGATCTGTCCCCGATGATTAATAAACGACCTCAAATCATATCTACCAGCCATACTTTCCATGCCTGAAACACTACAGAATTAGTGCCGCTCAAAGCTCGGGAAATGGTTGTCAGATGAATTCCACAATATATTCGAACATACCTTTCGAAGCAATTGCGACTATTGCAAGTATATTCTGATTAACGATCGTCATTTCAAACTTTGGAACCCGATCGTCATCAGAATAAATTACAAGCAGATTACTATATACCAGGCATATTGAATGACTACACACATTCTAAGCACTATCGACAGACAATAGCAACTGTGCTACTGTCACGTGAGTGACGGTAAGAGTGACGATCAAAAGTCAAATTAAACTATGCAAAACAGTATTAACGTAAAATTAAACTTAACTATAGCGTCATTATTGCAATGGCAATAACATGATGTAATTGTATAGCATGTAAATATAAATAAGAAATGTAAAATAGAAGAAGAGAGTTAGTTTAGAATCTTACGCATAAAGAAAGCAGAACCTGAATAAAGAGAATAATACTTAATTTGATAGTAATCATATTTGCCGTTATAAAATAAAAACAATATACCAGCGAGTGTTCGACAGACCCATATTTAGTTAGATTTCGGGGCTAAGGTTAACAATTAGGTGGCCGGATTTTGTGTTGCCGGTAATTTCTAGATTAAGGTCAGATTTTCATATTCGTTCATCAAATAGTTCATGGTTACAAGCGTAACTTGATAGTCTTGTGTTTGTCGTATTTTAATTCTGTATGCTACGCCGTTTCCATTGTAGAACAATGTATAATAATACAATTGTTGTTTGATTTTATTTAGTATTTTATCTGGTAACTTCTTTAGGTTGGTTACTCTGGGGTATCGTTCCATTATTGTAGCGACTTCTGGTCGGTCCTTCTTTCAAATATAGACAGATATTTGTATCCTTTTAAAATATTTTCTAGGTTGAGCACTCGTTTTTCTATCAATTTTAACAGTGCTATCTCTTTTTGTACTTTTTGTTTTAGTTTTGTTGCTCTTCGGATTTGTTTAGAAGTGATTTTTTCTTTATCTTTCATTAGGTCTTCTAGTTCTTGTTCGTTCATTTCTGTCAGTTCTTCCCTTTCGAATTCTGAATCTACTTCTTCAAGTATTCCAGGGTATATTTTTCTTTGATTTGTCATTACTTTAATTTCTTTCGTGAAGCTTAATCTGTTGATCATATGTAATACCGGGTAATCCCTTATTCGATGAAATATATAATGTAAGTTGTGTTGGATCATTGGTATTAGTAGTAGCTGTTGTTCTTCAATTTGATTCAATGAGTATATTTGCCATGGTCCTAATGTTTCTGGTTCAGTATTTTTTGGTTCTTCATTTTCTAATTTAAATATAAA